CTTTCACGCAGCTCAGGAACTCTGCTCAGGCCCACGGTGAGTTCAGTCGACTGCCTCGTCATGAAGGCCTATCATTTGCACGTGTTTTTAAAGAGGTCATGAACTGCCTCTGTTTATTATTTTGTACTCTTCTCTGAGGTCCACTTATACCACTTGATTTTTACATCAAAACGCATCATAATTTAGAGGTAGTAGTCTATTTTCTGTGCTGTTTTGACCCCCTCATCAGAACGCTCTGTTTAAACAGGCGTGGAGGATTGTAGACGCCCAATAGCTGTGTATGTTTGACAGCCTACATTCCTCACAGATGGACGCTGCTGTGATTTAGGTTCTAAACGCACAAATAACTCAGTATATATCAAATGATCTGTTTAACAGACAAAGCAATAGTGATCACGTAATGAAAACAGTTACTCACACTTGTGGTGCGTCATCTTGTGCTTGAACAGACAAATACATCAAAAACGTTATGTCTTAAGTAAACGTAAACAGCTGAGAAAGAAATAGGATGTGTATCATTGTATTGGATCCATGCACTGTGTCTTAAAGTGACTGCAGCAGCTGCACTCTGTGTCCTTATTAATGTTAAACCAAGAAAAACAGAAGAGAAAATCACTCACTTCTCATGAATACTTTTGTAGTTTTTAACATTCATCTATATTTAATATATACAGTGAAGACTGTGCGATGCTATTGTACATTTATTTGGTTTCTGTGCCTGAACACTTACAAACTTAAATTAAATTAAATTGCATCTTTGTTCTATTTATTTATTTCTGCTATTTACAGGATTTCAAACAGGGACCATGGTACAACCTGCACTGAGTATCTATCTATCTATCCATCAGTCTGTATAATATATACATACATTCTCTCTCTCTCTCTCTCAGAAGCGTCACACAGCTGTCTGTCGGTCTCGCTGGCAGAGCATCCGCTCTATGGACGTGCGCTCCAGCATCCGGGGACCTGGGCTAGTTGAGGGAGGGATCCAGCACTGGGTTTCCAAAATCCAAGTGGTGTAGGCTAATATCTTCTGTACTCTGTAGTTCTGTATTTAGGCCTATATACAGCTGTGTGTTAGCTTAGGTCTACAGTTTAACTGAGATTATTTAATAACTACAGAGCTCCGAATATAATTTGAATTAACAATTCGTTTCTACGACGTCAGCAGGTTTTATTATTTTTTTAATTAATTTATTATTTATTAATTTTAAGCAATAATGATTTTAATAAGTAATTACGAAATATAATAATTCGTTCCACGATTTAGGCCTACTGAAACTAGGGAACGAACGAATGAATTCGTGGCAGCTAAGCCTAAACAAAAGAACGAATACTTAATTCGTGGCCATAATTTAGACTAAACGAAAAAATTTATTCTTAATTCGTGGCCATAATGTAGTCCTAGCATAAAAGAGAACTGGCCTATTCTAAATTCGTAAATTCATTTATTATGGTATGTAACTAGCTCACCTTTTGCGGCACCATGTTTGCGTAGCACATCCTCGTGCTTTCTGGCAATGTGCCGCTTCAGATTCCAATATGAATCTTTACTAACTTTAACAGTCTCCCCGCACTCCCTCTCAGTTTCTTCTCCCTGCTCATTCTTAACTTTGATTTTTACTTTACATTTATGTATAAGGCTTGCAACTTCGTTGAAACAATATCTGAACTCCATAACTACTCTACTATTCTCGATCTCTACAGATTCTCGATCTCGAACAAGCAAATCACCAAACGGCATTCTGGGTTGAGC